GAAGTTTTAAGTAGTTGAAAGACTATAGCACTGGTTCTCAACCTCCCTAATGCTGCGATCCCTTAATACAGTCCCTCATGTTGTGGTGACCCCCAACCATAAAATTATTTTCATTGCTACTTCATCACTGTCATTTTGCTACTTTTATGAATTGTAATGTAAATATCTGCTATGCAAGATGTATTTTCATTCACTGGATCAAATTTGGCAGGGAGTATTGGAGGGTCGCATTCGGCCCCCGGGCCTTAGTTTGAGGACCCCTGAACCAGACTGTGAGATCTTGCTTCAGCATAATTTAAACCAGGAGTGACAAAGCCCCTTTTCAATCCCATTATAGTTGTTACCATTGGGCTAGACAAGTTCTCATAGGTCACATCTGAAGACTTTTTACTAACTGTACCCTGTTCTGAGATGTTCACGTATAGAGCAGAATAAATGGTGACTAACTTGGGCTGGTCCATGAGGTCACGAAGAGTCGGAGACGACTGAACGAATGAACAACAACAAAACTTGGGATGCTTATTGAATGATCTTACACTGCTCTCGAGAAGGCAATTCTTGTTGTGTATACAACAGGTTTATTTTTACTGTATATGCCCATTATTATAGCATATATTTATATTTTACTGTATATGCCCATTATTATAGCATATATGTTCTAAAAAAAACTATTACTACTGTAATTGCTGTACTACTGTTTGTAGTGGTCTTGTGCTGTTGCATTTTAGCCTTTGAGGGAGTTTTGTAAGATGTTATGCCTCAGGTGTCAAAATAACATAGGTTTTTTTTTTTAGTGGGAGGGCCCAATGTTTAGGGTTTGGGTGATAATGGCTCCTGTGCTGTTAAAAAACATGTTTTTTAAAAGTCACAAAATGATTTAGTTCATCAAAAATGCCAGAGTCTTATGTGCTGCCCTCTGACCTTTTGTTTATGTCTATCTCACAGGTAGCTTCTGTAATGAGCCTCCAGATTACCTTTTAAAGTCTCATGGCCCAGACATAACTCTCATTTTTTCCTTCTGGTGAGAATACAAATATGAGAGGCTTTTTTTCTTAGCTATGGGACCTATAAAATACAACCTAGTAAGTATAAGAAGCTTTGGCATGAAGTTTGTGATTTGAATAGGTGCCTAATCTGGGCAAGTCAATGTAAAACTTAAAGTGAGGTGGGATACTTAGAAAAGAAAAGAAAAACCCAAAGTGATGGGTATTTTAAGGTGAGCAGCAGTTTCCAAATTCTGTGCCAAGGGACAACTGCTAGGATGCTGTGTGAAATGAATGAAATGCTCTCTTAGTGCCCATGCAGCCGTTACCCAGAAAGAATGCAATGTGCTCCATCTCTATGTGGGTTATTGGTGTGTTTCAGGTTACGAGTCAACCAGATTGCAATGGAGTGATCACATTTTGGGAATTAGTTAAGCCTTGTTAAGCCTTGAGCTTTATGGACTCGCTGCAAGCTCCCAAAGGCTGTTGCTAGGCAGACTTCAAGCGAAGGCTGGCTCCTCCCACCCCTCAACCTTGGAGGGCTGGAGGCTGGCTCTGCAGAAAAGGCGGGAACTGCAGAAGGCTGGAAACTTTGCACTCTGCTGTAGAAGCCTTGCTTTCTGGAAAAGGGCGGGAAACAGCAGTAGAAACAGTAGCTTTGCTGAAGGTTTGTCTTGCAAGGAGTTGGCTGAGCTGCAGAGGCTGGTAACTTTGCAAAAGCAACACTCTGCAGAAGGATGCTTGCTTCTGGCTGGAAACCCTGCAAAATCTATCAACAGTAGCTTTGCAGAAGGTTTGTCTTGCAGCAGCTGCAAAGAGCTGGACTGTAGCAAAATGTATCCACTCTGCAGGTTTGTCTTGCAAGGAGCTGGCTGAGTTGCAGAGGCTGGTTGTTGCAATTTTCTGTGGCTTGCTTGAGAAGCAAAAAGGCGGGAACCCCAGGGAAATGTATCCACTTTGCAAAATCTGGGATTCCCTTTGAGGAGAAGGCAGGCTTCTTTTCTGAGACAAAGGCAGGCGTCCCTTTGGCTCTATTTTTTCTTTAGAAAACTATAAGCTTGACAAAACAAGACCCTTTGGCTCTTTCTTTTCCTTCTTTTTAGTTTATTTTGACACCACTTTAACTACCATGGTTCAGTATTTCACAATCATGAGAGTTGTAGTCTTTAGCCTTCTCTGCCAAAGAGTGCTGCTGCCTCAATGGGGCACGATTATTCATTATGTCACCTCTTTGGTGTCATTGCTTTAAAAATGGGCAGTCTTATACTTTTGAAAAGACACGGTGGTGCTGATATGTGTGGGTTGATTTATTGTAGTTGTGGTTTCTTATATGTATATCTAGCTAGTCCATGGGAGTGGAAGAAAGGAGCTTTCTTCAATTTTGCTTTTCATGTGGAACATGTTTCCTTATTGGACCACCAAAAGGGGCTGCAGTGGTGCAACAGGTTAAACCAGTGTTTCTCAACCTGGGGGTTGGGACCCCTGAGGGGGGTCGCGAGGGGGTGTCAGAGGGGTTGCCAAAGACCATAAGAAAACACAGTATTTTCTGGTGGTCATGGGGATTCCATGTGGGAGGTTTGAGCCAATTCTGTCGGTGGAGTTCAGAATGTCCATATTTTGCTTATTGGCCTAATTATCTTCCAAGTTTTCTGGGAACGTTCTTTTACTTTAATCACAGTTAGACATGTCTGCATCCAAGTTTATCCAGGTTCACTTTTTTTTACTATAAAAAGGGCTGCGCATGCCTCAGCGGGTCATTGCGCGGCCAGGAAGCAAATGCAGAGGGGGCTTGGGTGGGAAAGGTGCCACTGCTTGGGAAGGGAACAACAGGGTTAGGGAAGAGAACAAAAGTTTTTTGGAAGGGAACAACAGGGGAGAACGGCTGTTAATAGGCCCATTGCCTGCAAGGCTTTTTTGCCTTTCCACTTGTTTGTGTGGAGGGAAGAAGGGCAGGGCAGCACACAAGGGCAGCTGGGAGAAGTGTTCTCTCTTGCCTGCCACTGCCAATTTCCTTTTTAGAAGCAGTGGTTTCAACTTTGAATGCCCTTCCTTTCCCTTTGGGTTAGACTTTGTACTTTGGGGAACTAGAAATCCACTTTTCTCCTAATACTTTGCTTGCAGAAATTGTGATTTCAACTTTGAATACTCTCCCTTTCCCTTTGTGTTTGACTTTGTACTTAGGGATGCCAGAAATCCACTTTTCTCCTAATATTTTCATAGCACATGCAGCCAATTCAACTTTTAATACCCTTGCTTTCCCTTTGGGTTTGATTTTGTACTTTGGGGTACCATAAATCATCTTTTTCTCCTAATAGTTTTCCTTGCACATGCAGCCAATTCCACTTTCAACACCCTCCCTTTCCCTTTGGGTTAGGCTTTGTACTTTGGGATACCAGAAATCCACTTTTCTCCTAGTACTTTGCTTGGAGAAATAGTGATTTCAACTTTGAATACCCTCCCTTTCCCTTTGGGTTTGACTTTGTACTTTGGGAAACCAGAAATCCACTTTTCTCCTAATACTTTCCTAGCACATGCAGCCAATTCAACTTTTAATGCCCTCGCTTTCCCTTTGGGTTAGGCTTTGTACTTTGGGATACCATAAATCATCTTTTCTCCTAATAGTTTTCCTTGTACATGCAGCCAATTCCACTTTCAACACCCTCCCTTTACCTTTGGGTTAGGCTTTGTACTCTGGGAAACCAGAAATCCACTTTTCTCCTAATATTTTCCTAGCACATGCAGCCAATTCAACTTTTAATGCCCTCGCTTTCCCTTTGGGTTTGACTTTGTACTTTGGGATACCATAAATCATCTTTTCTCCTAATAGTTTTGTCAGTAGCGGTCTAAAAATGACTGAGAGGGAATCCCCAGAAGTTTTCCCTGTTCCGTTTGCAGCTTTTTGCGTATTGTGCAATCACGCCCACCATTAATGAAGCAATTTGGAAATTTTGGGAAATTCTGGAAAAACATTTCCAGAAGAATTCGGAAATAATTTCCAAACCGAATCGCCAGTGCCCCCTACATCCGAAACGAGTTTTGAACCATTTTTCCCTTGATCAAACAAGCCTACTAAGCATGTGTGTTCTTGATCTGAACCAATGCCACCTTGTGGGCAGAGTTAACTCCAAGAATGTCATAAATAAACATGAATGTAGAGGGACTGTTATATCCTTCTTGTTCTTTGCCTTCAAGTTGTTTCCAACTTATAGTGACTCTAAGATGAATCTATTATGGGTCTTTTAAAGCAGTATTTGTTCAATTGCCTTTGTTTTCCCCTAAAGCGGAGAGAGTGTGATTTCACACAAATACAGTTGAAATGATTGTGCTTCAGTGTTGCTCCAGAGGGAAGCAAAAGGGAGATTTTGGCTGGAGACAGAATGCAGAGTCAGATTATAGTTTTACCCTTGAGTGGAACTTGTATGCAAGAACTATTTCAGAAAGACAGGGGTAATTTAATAGTTTGGAAAAGGTCTTCATGCTTGAAGATGCCTAAATATAAAAACCTGTGGTTGGAGGAAGACAAAAATAATCAGCTTGGGATTTCTGCAATGGGAAGGAATGCTGTTTCCCAGCAAGAGAGTTTTAGAAATCAGGCATTTTTATTTGAAATGGATGAGGATGCCTACTAATTGGGTGTGTATAAACATTCTGGGGGAAAACAACATCAAAACGTGCTGTAATTTCAGCAGCAGAACACACATTCTAGTCATAAAACTAACATTTTTGCTGGCAACTGACAGGAGACTTATGCAGGTAGCACTGATATAATGCAGTCTGTTGAGCATTGGATGTTATATACGAATTTTATGTTAGCATTTTAAATCATGTACATATCTAATCATGTACATAATACATGTATGGGTTCATGTACTTTGAATACACTGCATTTGGTTTGGATTTCATGATAATCTGATAAGGAGTGGCAAAAGGCACAAGATGTGGCCAATAGTCCTTCTCAGGTAGAAACAGATTGCCATAGCTGTCAACAAACAGTGTTCCTTTTTTTGTGGTTTGTAGGAAGATTTTGTGGCCGAAAAGGGCGCTTCAGACTCTTTTCAAGTGGAAGCTACTTCACAGTCTGTTTCAAAATTGATGGCTCAATTGGAGCCAAGGGCTTCAAGGCTGTTTTTGAAGAAGTGGATCATGGACCAGCATTACAAAGCAAGAATGGATTAGAACTCCAGAATCCATGTAATTGAAACTGAAAGGTTGTCTTTCTTTTATAGACTCTTAATCTTGATGTATTTGTTTGTTTGTTTTGTTTATTGAATTTAAGCTCCACTTTTCTCCCACCATGGAACTCTCAAAACAGTTTGCAATAATTTAGAATAATAATAATGATAATAATAAAAAAATCTTTATTTATATTCCGCCCTATCTCCTCGGAGGGACTCGGCGGATTTCAGTCACAAAAGGGCAAACCTTCAATGCCTGAACATAGCCAGGCCACTAATACACACATAGTAACAAAGGTTGAACTACACAGCATATAAAGCCAATTATAACTTAGCAAATTAAGGTTAGATTTAAATGCAACCTATTATATCAGACATAAAACAAGACATCAAACAGAAGCATCCATTTCCCAGAGTCAACAGAGTTCCTATGGGGCATATAAGTTGCTCAAGATGTCAACTGAGCTAGCGGGGCAAACAGGACCCAGATACGGATGGTAGATGTTACTCAGAAGTATAATAGCAATGACGTTATCTCCCCCCCCCCTCCTCCTCCTCCTTGTAAGCTAGTGATTAGAAGGATGTCTTCAGCTGTTTTAGTTCCTTAAGGAGGGAGTTCCAGAGGTGGGGGGGGGGGTGACCATAGAGAGGGCCTGTTCTCTCATTCCCAGCAGCTGTGCTTGAGACGGGGTCAGGACTGAGAGCAGGGTGTCCTCTGATGACTGCCGTGTCCGGGTTGGTCTGCAGTGGGAGATGCAGTTTGTCAAATAGCCTGGACCCGAACCGTTTAATAATACTAGTCCTAAAAGGCAGAGCATGTCAGTTCTACAATATGAATAAAAATAACTCAAATACCTGTCAAAGTAAATAAGTCTTACCCTGCTGGTGAAAATAAGAGCAAGGAGGGAACTAATTGGGTTTCATGTGGGAGAGGATTCTCTAACTACATGTGGGTCCCTAGACCTTTTTTTGTGACATTTCAGCATGATGCTCCTCAGTGGCAAAAAAAAAATGCCCTCCTCCCTGCACTTGGTTGATAGTGAACAGATGCAGCTTCAAAAGGTCCCTGAGAATCAAACCAAAATGACAAAGAAAATGTTCTCATTTTACCCATTTGGGGGGCTGGTTTTTCTACACTGAGTGCTGTGAGCAGCAGTCACTTTTGATGTGGGATGTCGCTATTATCTGCTTTCCTTTTTTTTAAAAAAAATGTATGTGGCCCCTCCTGTGGTCATATAAGGCTCCCCTGAGCCACATCCACATGTAACCCGCAGGCTGCACAGTTCCTGCCCTTATCATACGTCTTGTATCACTGATTTCTGGTTGAGGTTTAGGTTAGTTAACTATCATTTGTGCTTCAATTGTTGGATTATATAATTTGGCTGGGAATGCATATGCCTCTCTTTTCTTTTATGTAGGAGAATTCTGGAAAACCACTATTGTGCAAGAATGATGGGTATTATACAGTGGCTGGTGTTAGGTACTGAGAAAGCGACAACTGTGATCCATAATTGCCAACAGTCTACACATGGATTTCTGTTAACAGGAGTTGGGTTTCATTGGTCACAAATGGAAAATTGTGAAAAGACTAGTCCTTAATCCATTAACTTTTCCCCATTTAAGGCAGAGGACATGTACTTCCCAAGCTTGTTCTTTCTTCCTTTAATGTGACAAAACACTGCCACAGGTTGTCTTTCCACACAGTTATAAAGACAATTCAGGAAATTTTGTATGATAAAATATAGAACTTTGTCATAAAATAAAAGACTAAGACAAAAACATTCATTGAATTCAAATGCTGGCTCTGAGAAGTAATTTGGATGGTTAAACACTGCCCAATGATCATGGCTTTGGTGAAGCCAGTGTGATATTGTGTCCATACTTTTGTAGAAGTGAATCAGACTGAAGTTTTCTGTTCTTATAGTACCGGTTTATGAAAGAATTATGGTCACTGAAATAAATACCCAATTATACATCTGATCGTGACTGATTTATATATTTTTTGCCAGCATCAACTACTAGTGCCCTTCAGTTCTGCAACCCAAAGCCTGCCACTCAAACCCAAAAGGTTCCGTTTCTGTTCTTTCATCAATCAAACATAAAGTGACATAATGAGATCTGAGATTCTAAAGCAACAGTCCTTCAACTACTTAAAACTTCTTGATACTGAGATTACAATGTTCTGGTCTTTTGACTAGCACTCTTGTGAGTTAAGTCTTTTATTTCTTTTGCATGCATGTCTCTGTGTATCTTAAGACAAAATGTGTACTTTGCCCTTTCCCTGCCTCTTCCATTGAATTCTGCAATGCCAGAATTTTCGCCGAAGAGAAAGAACAATGTGAACCACTGAATGATACATGCAGGCAAACCCTTTGGCCAGAAGAGATCACAAGGGGAAATCTTGCTACCTAGTGATGTCATAAGCACCTCTTGTGATCTGCTCCTTAGTAGGAGCTTTTCGTGCCCTTTCTCCTTGTGCTGCTTTCACTTCATACCCAAGAGGTTTGAACAGAGACAGTGTTTGCTGAACAGTATTTGACAAATCAAATAGCTTTATCTGTCAAGGTTTTTCCTTCAGAACGACCCTGTGCCTAAAGCCTCCAAAAATATGAGGCGGCACACAGCCTTCACGCAGGTTCTCCTGTTTGGTTTTGGTGAGTGAGAATGTTGATTTCCCTCCTCCTTCATTCAATCAATCTTCTAGGTATCTTTTGGATTTTCCATAATTGAGACGAACAGGCTTTATTCCTAAGGCTTGGATGTTCCCAGATCCACAAATGTCCCCTCAGTCGACATATTTCTCACATTGCAGGGAGTAAAACATTTAAAATCATTCATAATTAGAACTGATATCTGCTGTGTTTTCATGACCTTCGTAGCTTTGCCTGCCACTTTTATTTGGATGCCTAAACTGTGTTTCTATATGCCTAAACTTAGGTTTAAAGTTACTGGAATGCTAGAAATGTGGGGGCTGAAAGAAAATGTCATTGGAGGAGGTAGCATTCTTCCTGGGAGTTAGTGTGATTTTGCCCTGTCTCATAACTGCGCTCCCTATGTTGGCTAGAGCTGGATCTGGAGGTGAGGCAGTCCTTGGCAAATAAAGCTTTGGTGAGAGCCCTTCTGTGTTAGTAGATACATCTGATATTGGAAACTTTCTCAAAAGTTTGCTGCTCCACACAGCAGAATACCATCGTAAAAATACATGAAACACCCTAGGTGTATTTCTCACTATATACGTATGCTCCAACTATCTGTATTTGGGCAGGGACACTGATATGAAAATAGGCCTAGTAATTATTTAAATTAAGAAAAAATTCTCATGTGAATTATCTGGTACAGTTCAATCTCTACTTTCACAGGAGTTAGAGGCACCATCCCCCTTCCCTGTGCAATGGTGGAGGGATGATTGTAATTAAAAACTAAATATTCCATATATTGGTTTGAGTCTTAAGTTGCCTGCAGGATTGCCTTCTCCCACACAATCCACTTCTTAGGACACTGGGTTCCTCTATGAGGCAGCTACTCCAACCTGCCAGAACCCGACTGAAAACCATCACCCAGAGAGAGTACCTTTTCATTGTTGCTAAAAGACTGGATGACTTGTCAGAAGAGCTCAATGAGCTGTCAGAATTGAAAAGGCAAACTCCCTCTTCTGGCAGTCAATTTTAAATTACCTATGGCAAAATCACAATTACATAGATCTAACACACAACATGGGTTTCTCAAAAACAAGTCCTGCCCTATGAGCTTTTTGATAGAGTAACGAGTTTAGTATATGAAGGGAATATTGTGGATGTAGCATATCTCGATTGCAATAGGCCTGTGACAAGGTTCCCCGTGACATTCTCACAAAGAAGCTAAGAAAATGTGGGCTAGACAATACTACTTTTAAGTAGATTGGGAATTGGTTGCCTGGTTGAACCTAAAGGATACTTACCAATGGCTTCTCCTCATCCTGGAAAGAAGTGGCCAGTGGGGGAGATGCGTCTGGGATCTATTCAAAATCTTTACCGAAGACCCGGATGATGGAAAAGAAGGCATTCTTAACTAATTTGCAGATGACACCAAATTGGAAAGAATAGTCATATGCCTAAGGAGAAGATCAGAATCCAAAATGACCTTAACAGATTACAGAGCTGGGCCAAAACTAACAAAATGAATTTCAACAGGGAGAAAGGTATGGTACTTCACTTTAGCAATAAACATAAAATGCACATATAAGATCGGTAGCACCTGGCAGGAAAACCGTGCATGCAAAAGGTATCCAGGAGGTCTTAGCAAGCCAAACATGAGTTAATCATGTGATTGTTCGCAGCAGCTAAAAAAGTCATTGCAATTCTAATCTGAATCAATAGGAGTATAGTGTTGAGATTGAGGGAAGTTATAGTCTTTTCTGCTTTGAAAGCATGTCCCATTGAAAAGTGTGATTTTTTCCTGCTACTTTGGAGACTAGAACACAGAGCAGTGGGTTCAAATTGCAGGAGAAGAGATTCCACCTACACATTAGGAACCAGGAAAATGGTTGGCAAGAAAAATAAGAAGGAAAAGGCAATCTTACTAAAATTGAGAAGGATGGGAAATTATACACAAATGATCAAGATAAAATTAATCAATTTAATAAATATTTTTAAAAAACTATATTTGAAAGAAAAAATAACAAAAGAAGGCATCTCATAATATCTTGGAAAACAAAAGATAATAAGAATCTCTGATCAACAAAGAGAAAGACTCAACAAGGAAATAACAGATCAAGAAATACAAATAGCAATTAAAAATTGGATAACAACAAAGCGCCTGGTCTGGATGGAATAACAGCTATATATTTCAAAACATCAGAAGAAGGATTAATACCATAAAATGAATGAGGCCTTAAATCTCCAAAAAAATCCCAGATATATGGAATACAATGAATATAACAATGATATATAAAGAAAATATAGACCCTACGGTTGTAAAAAAATTCCCTATTTAATACTGACTATAAAATATTTGCAGAAAAACTAAAACTATTTTTGAACTGATGGATTAAAAAGGAACAAATAGGATTCTTACCACAAAGACATATAAAAGAAAATGTGAGGAATATATTGGATATAATTAAATATTATGAGACAAAGATCCAAAGAGAAGTAGCGCTGGTCCTTTTGGACATGGAAAAAGCATTCAACAACATTAATTGGGATTTCATTTTATTACTATTATAAAAAATGGACATCAATGGGATATCATTTTACCTATGCAATTAATCAATATATACAACGCCAGAAGCCAAGATTGTAATAAATGGACAAGAATCGTATCACAGTCAATAAAGGAAGAAGACAAGATTGCCCCGTTTCTCCACTACTATTTATAAGGACACTCGAAATTCTTTTAAATAATATAAGAGAAGATAAAGAATGGAAGGGGACCAAAATTAGAAAAGAAAATTATAAAGTGAGAACATTTGCAGATGACTTGGTTTGTATTATCAAAAATCCTATGGACATTATAGAAAAATAGATAAACAATATAGAAGAGTTCGGGAAATTGTCTGGATTCAAAATAAACAAAACAAAAACTAAAGTTTTAATGAAAAATATGTCAAAAAAGAAGCAGGAAGAATTACAGAAGATGACTGCTTTGCAAATTGCGAATAAAATTAAATACTTGAGAATATTGTTGTTGTTGTTCATTCGTTCAGTCGTCTCCGACTCTTCGTGACCTCATGGACCAGCCCACGCCAGAGCTCCCTGTCGGCCGTTACTACCCCCAGCTCCCTCAAGGTCAGTCCAGTCACTTCAAGGATGCCATCCATCCATCTTGCCCTTGGTCGGCCCCTCTTCCTTTTGCCTTCCACTTTCCCCAGCATAATTGTCTTCTCTAGGATTTCCTGTCTCCTCATGATGTGGCCAAAGTACTTCAACTTTGTCTCTAGTATCTTTCCCTCCAGTGAGCAGTCGGGCTTTATTTCCTGGAGGATGGACTGGTTGGATCTTCTCGCAGTCCAAGGCACTCTCAGAACTTTTCTCCAACACCACAGTTCAAAAGCATCGATCTTCCTTCGCTCAGCCTTCCCTAAGGTCCAGCTCTCACATCCGTAGGTGACTACAGGGAATACCATGGCTTTGACTAGGCGGATCTTTGTTGCCAGTCTGATGTCTCTACTCTTCAGTATTTTATCGAGACTGGACATTGCTCTCCTCCCAAGAAGTAAGCGTCTTCTGATTTCCTGGCTACAGTCTGCATCTGCAGTAATCTTTGCACCTAGAAATACAAAGTCTGTCACGGCCTCCACGGTTTCTCCCTCTATTTTCCAGTTGTCAATCATTCTTGTTGCCATAATCTTGGTTTTTTTGACGTTTAGCTGCAACCCGGCTTTTGCGCTTTCTTCTTTCACCTTGATTAGAAGGCTCCTCAGCTCCTCCTCGCTTTCGGCCATCAGGGGGGTGTCATCTGCATATCTGAGGTTGTTAATGTTTCTTCCAGCAATTTTCACCCCAGCCTTGCATTCATCAAGCCCCGCACATCGCATGATGTGTTCTGCATACAAGTTAAAAAGGTTGGGTGAGAGGATGCAGCCTTGCCGTACGCCTTTCCCAATCTTGAACAGTCTGTTGTTCCGTGGTCAGTTCTGACTGTTGCTACTTGGTCCTTGTACAGATTCCTCAGGAGAGAGACAAGGTGGCTTGGGATGCCCATCCCACTAAGAACTTG